GTTAGGACCTGGAGATGGCTCTTCACATGTGATATTGTGAGTCCTCTCGCATCCATTAACTGCAAAACCATCTTAGGAGTTGCTCCTGCAATTTTAAGAATAATAACAACCAAATTCCTTTATCTTGAAATTGAATAATAAATAAAGCGATTTCGTAACTTTAAAAGTAAAACTTTCATGAAACTTAATCTAAAAAATGTAGTACTAAATGCAGAAAATTGTGAAAACTTTTAACTAATTTGAGAGAAAATATAAATATAATTTTCTAAAAGAAGAAAAAAATCACTTACTATTTTCTCCACCAAGTTGTTCAACAGCTTGAACAAAAGAGTTGTGAAGATCGGAATTCCATCGCAGTCGTGGCACTTTTGACCTAACATAAGATCTAACGATTGGGTTTTTCATCGGTTTTATTTATTATAACAACTCGTGATTTTATAGTTTTAGAAAAACTTAGGGAGTTTTTGGTCGACTGATTTAAAATGGTCGCAGCAAACCAAAGGGATGAAGGCAACTACTAGAGAGAATTCTCTATTTTCAAATAGGGCAAGCTTTATAGACTTGTCCTCATAGAAAGAAAGAAAAAATGAAATAGACTATTGTTGTTGTGCTTTGTCATGTTGTGCTGCTTTTTCTAGTCTTTGTATATTTTAACAAAACTGTATTTCTCTGATTTCATTTGTATATTTGATAGAAAAAGATGTGCTCGTCATTTCCAGTTTTGTTTCTTTGTGATAATAATATGTATGACAACTTCTAAAACAGTAAAACAATCAGTTAATACTTAATACCAAGAGTCTCCTGGTAATTCTTAAAAAAAAAAATCAGTTATTACTATCAAAATTATCCTTTTTATATACATTGAAAATTTTCCTTATAAGTAAGCCAAAAAGTTAGTCAGATTCAATATATTGCCTAATGCATGTAGCGTATAATCATTTTAAGCCAAATTAAATGACTTAGGTAATGTAATACAGTATATTAGTTTTTTTTTTAAAACTGATGTA